TGATGATGATGATGATGATGATGATGATGGTGAATGATGATGGTGATGATGATGATGATGATGTTGATATGGTGATGATGATGATGAGATGATGATGATGAGATGAAGATGATGATGATGATGATGAAGATGATGATGATGATGATGATGATGATGATGATTATGATGAAGATTGATGATGATGATGATGATGGATGATGATGATGATGATGATGATGATTTGATGATGATGAGAATGAGGAGGAGGAGGAGAGGGAGGAGGAGGAGGAGGAGGACGACGACGATGACGACGATGATGATGATGAGGAGGAGGAGGAGGAGGAGGAGGAGGAGGAGTACGACGACGACGACAAAGACGACAATGACGACGACGACGACGAGGACGACGACGGGAAGGAGCGGGACAAGGAGGAACAGGCAGGGAATGGGAGATGGAAATATGGGGGAGGGAATGGAGGGGAGGGGGCTGAGGGAGGGAAAATGGGAGGGAGCGAGGGAGGAGGAGGAGGAGGAGGAGGAGGGAGGGAGGAGGAGGAGAGGAGGAGGAGGAGGAGGAGGAGGAGGAGGAGGAGGAAGAGGAGGGGAAGGAGGAGGAGGAGGAGGAGGAGGAGGAGGAGGAGGAGGAGGAGGAGGAGGAGGAGGAGGAGGAGGAGGAGGAGGAGGAGGAGGAGGAGCAGGACAGGGGCCTGGGGAGGCGGACGAGGAGGAGGAGCAGAAGCAACAGCAGCAGGAGCAGCAAGAGCAGCATGAGCAGCAGGAGCAGCAGGAGCATCAAGAGCAGCAAGAGCAGCAGAAGCAGGAGGAACAGCAGGAACAGCAGCGACAACGGCATCGGCGGCGGCAACGCCGGAAGGGGGGGGGGCGGCAGCGACAACCCCCTTCCCCTCCCTCCCTCCTTCCCGCCCTCCCTCCCTGCCCCCTCCCTCCATCCTTTTATTCCTCCCTGTCACCCGCCGATCCCCTCCCTCCCTCCTTCCCTCATCCCCCCCTCGTTCGCCCTGGCCCCCGCATCGATCCGCTTAGCGTCGGCGAGGGGGTGGACAGCCCTCCCCCTAGCGGGGGCGAGGGAGCGGACGGCCCCTCTCTTGTTCCCTCCGCCCGGCGACGCCGGCTGACGGGGCGAATTCGTTCGAACACGAAGTGAGAACTCCTTCGTGCAAGCACGGTTTGGGGAATATGCAAGGATGTGAAAAATATGAAAGTTGGCACCAATTGTGGTGACTTACGTATGGATGCGTGCATGGTTCTCTATGTCAGGAAGACAAGAAGTGTGCGTGTACTTCATTGATCACTATACATCAATGCCGATATGTGATCATTCGTATCATCGTCCTCGTTATCCTCCTCCGCCTCATGAGCGGTGCGAACGAGACCATCGCATACCAAAACCCGATTGTCTTGAAACCCGAATAGAGGGAACAACCGTCCCTGTCGTTTCCAGGACCCCCCTCTTGGCCGCCCCCGAGCGGAGGAGATCGTGTACGGGAGCGTGCCCCGTCTGTGGAGGAGCTCCCGGGTGCCCGCCGACGCGACTTCTGTGCAGTCCGTGGCCCCAGACTGGAACCTCCGACGCGGCGCGGAGGGCATCTTTGCATTTTTGCTAGACACAACGAGGAGGGAACTGAAAGTCAAGGGAGAAAGAGAAAGAGAAAGAAAGAAAGAGAGGGATAGAGAGAAAGAGAGAAAAAGAGGGCGAGACAGAAAGAGAGGGATAGAAAGGGAGAAGGAGGGAGAGAGAAAGAAAGAGAGGGATAGAGAAAGAGAGAGAGAGAGAGAATGGGGAGGCGCAAAGGAGGGCATTGGACAAGGAGCCCATGCATAAGGACCCCAGGGCCTGGAAACTGGTGAACTCCAATCGTGGCTAGGCCGTGGATATTACTGTCGCTCTGAATCCTGCAGGGTCTGATGCCCCCTGGGTACATTCCGTAGCGACTGCCACCCAGCGTGAGCATCCACCGACATGGCTTTTGATCAGGCCGTGGCCACTTTCTTTCAATTCTGGCACATTTCCATGATGTCGGCGCCTGGGGCCCATCATCGGACCATGGAACCATCAAAACGGGCCCCTGACGAAAAACTGCACCCGGGGAAGGGGACGCCACCTCTGGGGCCGCGGATTGAAAACATAATATCAGCGAATGTCAGTGGAACTGCCGACCGCTTCCCCAGGGGTATCGGAAACCATGTTTGATAGTCCCAGTACCCGACAGCGACCCACGAGGAGCGAGATCGAGGATACTTCGGACGATGCTGGTGCTGCTGATGATGCTGACGATGATGGTGATGATGATGATGATGATGGTGATGATGATGATGATGATGATGATGATGATGATGATGATGATGATGATGATGATGATGATGATATGAGAACGTTGCTGCTGCTGCAATGATGCTGATGATCTGATGATGATGACGATGATGATGCAGTTGATGATCTGATGATGATGCTGCTGCTGATGATGATGATTATGATGCTGATGCTGCGGCTGCTGATGAGCATGCTGATGCTGATGCTGCTGATGATGAGGATGCTGATGCTACTGCTGATGATGAAATTTTGTTTGTGTTGTTTGACCAGGGCTGTGTCCGCCACGAACGCTCCTTTGGTCGACACCTGGGTGCTCAACCCCGACGTGTCTCTGTCAGAAAAGGGAAATATAACTGCCCAGTGAGATCGCATGCATACTAGGATGGCTTGGCAGCGCTACACCACTACAGCTACTACTACTACTACTACTACTACTACTACTACTACTACTACTACTACTACTACTACTACAACCGATTGTTTGCAGGAATATCCCATTCTCCACTGCTTGTTTCTTGCTTCCACACCTCTTGGTTCAAATGGCCCCATCTTTTTAAATGCAACGCCCCTTGCATCATCCGCTTCAAGCCCCAAGCATCTGAAGACAGACTATCAGTAACCTTTGCCGGTAGGTGGTGGCGATGGTGATGCGAATGATTCATTACACGTTCCAAAGCTCCAGAGCATCTAGCGGCCTTCGTTTCTGCACCCCGTGTGGAACAATAGGAAAGTTTGGAGATCCTGGAAATCTTGGGCCGTATCATTACATGACCTCCTGCCCATGCGAGAGAACTCGCTGATTTGAAACCAACAAACTGTTGGAGATCTGGGTGCGCAGCATGGGGACCAGGAAAAGACACAAAGGGCCAGCGGCGGGACGCCAGACCCTGGTCGAGACGCTCCCCTCGCCGCGAGAGCGACCCTAACTAGCAGGAGGAATTCGATGCTCGTTCCGGGGACCTTCCTGCAGCCACTCGCTCCAATCATGCCTCGAAGCTGCGTCGAAGTCGAGTCGAACTTGAGATGAGCTGGAGTCGAACTAATCGAGCTTGAATCGACCTATACTCGCAATAACGCAATAACGCCCGTGACCGGCCCCACCCCCACCCCTCCCCCCTCCTCCCCTCGGCACTGGCCCAATTCCCTGTTGGATGGGCTATTCGCCGGTTGGACAGGCTATTTCCCGCCGGTTGACCGGGGGAAACACCTCTGGAATGTAAGCTTCGGGAGACCTTCCGCAATTGATGTCGTTTGTAATCCGTCTTTAGAAATTCTGGAGTGCCAGTGGTCTGCCCTAAAGGAGCCCGCGTGTTTTCTGGGGACACACAATCAGGGAGCATCAAATCCGCAGCATGGGCACTGGCTTGCTCTGTGCGTGCGCGACTGTGCGCGTGCGAGAAAATTGCTCTGTGAGCTGTGCCACTTCAAGGATGTTGGTACATCGTGACATCCGCCCGTCGCCGCCCTTCGCGGTGGTTACGACACTTCGCCGCGCGAGCAAACATATTATGCTCTGTGGGCGACCGTGCTTGCGCGCGCGCGAACTCCTTCAAGCGCCACAGAGAACTTCGCGCTGGTTACCCGGAGAATCACCTCTGCTGGATCGTATGTTTATCGGCGATGGGGCAGCAGCGTTTGGGACACACATGCTTATCGTATGAGACTCGTTCGCCTCTCATCTTTTTTTCCAGCGGACTATGTTGGGAGAAGAAGGAGGAGAACGAGGAAGGGGACGACCGCGACGCACCACATGTACTCTCCACACCGCCTGCCAGGCCCAACACAAACAACTTGGGCGCACATATCAAGGCAAATGCATGTGTCACGGATTCGGTGCACGAGCAGTAGCACGAGCAGTAGCACGAAGAGGAAACTCGAGACGACACGTTCGCCTCTCATCTGAAGCACACACGCTGCGCATATGAGCTTCTGTTGTTTCTCATAGGAACACCCGGCGCGGGGCCCCGCTCGTCCACCGGGGACCGAGGATCCTCGTCGGGCGTCCGTCCCCCGTGCGGTGCTCGGTCTCGTGCGCGCGCTGCTGCTCACCACAGGGTGCTTCCACCTGGTCCAGATCTGCGGCCGCTGCTCGCCCATTTTTTTCCTCTATGTTTTGGTATTATTATTTGTTCAATCCTGCTTTTCCTTGTGGCACACGTCCGAGCGATGGCAAGGGGATCCTCGGCTCGATGGGAGGGGATGTGAGGGATTAGGGGCGGGGGGGCGGGCCCAGGGGGAGGAACGTCGACCTGGGATCGGCGATACGTCGCCGATAGATCGGCGTAAGGCCCCCGAGAGCGAATCCGCACGTGCCTGGGCGGGGTGGGCTATCGGACCCCACGTCGACGATGAATGGGCAATTGACGAGTCGATGCATCCTTTCATGAGCCTATGCCCCTAACGTTGCCTCTGACTTGGGCTGATAAGGAGAGGCTTCCTCTGTAGCACCTCAAGGCGGACGGCCCCGGAGCTTCCAGCCCCCTGCGAAGCGCCGAGCGGCGCCGAGAACGCTTCGCCTCGACGTCGTCGTCGTCCTCCTCCTCCTCCTCCTCCTGAGGCGCTTCGAAAGGGGCCAGCATGGTCGAGCCAAAGGTGAAGGAAGGATCTCCGCCCGCGATTCGACACGACGAGGCGTCCACTTCTTTCCCGACTCCCCCGTGCTTCCAGCCAGCGTCCACAGCACATTCGCAGCCCTTCGCCTCGCTTGCGAGCCGCGCCCCTGCATCAGCCGCCCGAGGCCCTGGAGGGAGAGAAAGAGAGAGAGGGAGCGAACGCGCACAATGTTTCTCTCCCGAGCGTGCGCCGTGGGGATCGCCGCGCGGTGCAAACACACAGAGGGAGCTGAAAAAAAGGCACTCGTCAGACGTCAGGCTGCTTAGCAGCTGTAATAAACAATTCGACTTGTATTGTGACAGGTGGAAAGCCCGGCGGGAAGCGAGAAGGGGCAGGCCTCCTCAGAGGGCTCAGAAGGCCTTCTAAGCCTTCCCCGGAGACACAAAAACCTCTCAGACGGCGCGAGGGCTTCTGAGAAGCCCTGCCGCCTTCTGAGAGGGCCTTCTCCTTCTCACCTCCCCCCCCTCGCTCGCCGCCGAATTGTGACAGGTGGAGATCGACGGGAACTCACAGCTGGTTAGCAACTGGGGTCGGAGCGCGAGGGCGCGCGGCACAGCCTGAGCCCTCGCTGCCCCTTGTTGTGTCGCCCGCCCACTTCTGCTGTCCCAGTCCCCCGACGTGTTCTTTTGTTCATGCCGCGACCCCCAGAAGTCTGGACCCCTTCCCTGGGGCCGGTCTCTCATCCCGAGTCGTTTTTTGATGGTCCCGAGGCCCGGCGAGGGCCTCCAGAGGCCGAAAATAGCGGAAACCTTGCGTCATGATTTCTTCATGGCTCGAGGGGTTTGGGGTTGCTGGGGGGGGGAACCCAGTGGACGGAGCCAACGACCGCTCGGGGTCCCCAATGATCGAGCGTCAGGTGATGGCGCAGGGCACCAGCACGATCCTGCCCTGAGCGCTCGAGAGCTGTCCTTCGCCGCTCTCGCTTCCCCAGCCTTCCCGAGTCGTACGTCAAGTTTGTGTCGTGCCGACTTCGGCGTTGGTTTCTGACACCGGGGGGATCGTTCAACCTTGAACGATCGGCTGTTTGCGAAACGTCCAAACCGTTCCACATCGAACGATTCTGGGTCGCCCGCGGCGTTCAACGTTGAACGCCGCTGGCAGGGTCGCCGCCGGTCGACACGACAAGAAACTACCGTAGCCAGCGCAACGGATATCCCGCATGCTCTGCCACGATCCCCCAGGGTCATGATCACAGAGCCCCTTTCCAAACCACAAGCGTTTCCCATTGCAACGCGTTGGCCGTACACATCCGCTACGCGAGCTGCCATGGGAAGTCCACATGTGACCATCGAGCAGGGCTGTGCTTAGGGAACGTCGGAGACGTTCTCCGAGCGGAACAGAAGTCCATGAAGACGTGGCCAAGAGGAGCGACAGCATAACAGAGCCACCTGAAACCCTCAAACGTGGTAGCCGCCTCAGACTCTTCAGAAGCTTCCGCACTGTGCCACTTCGCCCTGAGGAGCTGATCGAGGTGGTGTCATGGTCTCGGAGGGCCAGGGGGCCAAGAGCGAGCAGGCAGGAATGGAGACTGTGGCCAATGAGCCGAGAAGCGGAGGACCCACCGAGGATTCCACCACGGTCGAACTTCCCGATGCACGAGCAGGCAAGCATCTCTGCAGCGCAACCCTCGCGCAGCGAACGGCCGCGGCGGCGGCGGAACGAGAGGAACGCGCGGAGGCGGGCCAGCAAGAGTTCGGTCTCTTCTAAACCCGGGGGCCCTCCTCCTCCTCCTCCTCCTCCTCCTCCTCCTCCTCCTCCTCCTCCTCCTGATCCTCCCTCCTCCTCCTCCTCCCTCCTCCCTCCTCCATCCTCCATCCGCCCTCCTCCTCCTCCTCCTCCTCCTCCTCGTCGTCCTATTCCTCAGTTCTCGGAGACGAGGGCATGCCAGAGGGACGTCCACGCAGCCAGCTCCGTGCTCGTGCGCAGAGGTGGCCAAGGTGGCCGCTCGAGTGCGCACAGGGGCCGAATGAGCGAGACACTGTACACACACTAACTACACGTGCCCGCCGCGGCTGGGCGGCGCAGGTCAGCAGGGCGGAATGGGGGCGCAACGAGAAGGGGGACTGGCCAGAGGGAATCGTCGGCCTCGAATCGGCGGCACACCACCGATAGATCGGCGAGGGGCCCCCCGATGGCGAAACCACGCGCTCCTGCACGGGGCAGGCTATCAGGACCCTATCCTCCTCCTCCTCCTCCTCCTCCTCCTCCTCCTTCTCCTCCTCCTCCTCCTCCTTCTCCTCTCGCTTGGATTTCGGTCCATGGCTCGGGTCTCCGGCGGACGTTCGCGACGATCCGGGCATCCGTGGAGCGCTCTCGGCGAGGCGCGGCTGCTGGAACGCCTCCCGAGGCTGGCAAGCCGACGAGAGCCCACGAGCACGCCCGAACACGCCTTAAATTTCACGGGCGAAGAACGGTATAAAACAAGCTCTTTCGCCGTCGGGGACACCTGCCCCTGGGCGGCTGGCAAGTTTATACCCTTACGGTGGCACCGTAGGGGCATAAACTTTCCAGCCGCCCAGGGGCAGGTTCGGGGATGGACAGACCGCCCTTTAGTAAAACGTGGTTTAGTGAAAACGACCTGAGGCCCAAAGCTGGCGGGCTCAAGCCTGGAAAATAACGGCCACGGCGCCATCTCGAGAACCGAAAACGGACAATTCACTAATCGACGTGTCACTGTTGGGGGTTCTGTCCACCCCCGACAGGTGTCCCCGACGGCGAAAGAGTTTATTTTATACCGTTCTTCGCTCGCTCGCACGCCTCGAGCCTCGAACCTCGGTCCCCCGGGAGCCTCTCCCCCCCCTTGAAAATCTGGGCGCGCCCTCCCTCTGCCGGCGTCCGACGCAGAAGCCTCGCGGCCCCCCTCCAAGCATCCCCCCCCCGGCCACACCGCCGCCCCCTTGCAATGGCAGGGCCTGCGCCGGCCTGGGGGGAGGAGGACAGCTGCGCAGGTCCGCCCCGCCACGCCCCAGACGGAGGGGAGAACGCCCAGAGGAGGAGGAAAAAAGAACGAGGTGTATGGAAGGACAGCAAGCCTCATAAACATGATAGCGGAGTTCTTGGAAGAGGAGGAAAAAAAAAAACGAGGTGGATGGAAGGACAGCAAGCCTCATAAACATGATAGCGGAGTTCTTGGATCGGTGCTGGACCCCGTGGCGGCGCCTCCGGTGCCGCCACTGGCGCGCTCCGCGCGCCAGGGAGGGGGACTCAACGCCGGTCCAGGAAATCCGCGCGGACCTCCGACAGTTCATGCTTGTGCGGTTTTTTCTCCTTTCGGGGGGACCTGCACAGCTGTCTTGGAAGGCAACTCCTGGCAAGTCTTCGTCACAACGACGAGATGCGATATAGCCCGATTGTAGGGCCATTGAGCCAGACCAGGCCGGATTGAACCCAGGATGAAGCTGGGTTGCGCAGGATAAATTTGGGCTGGGCGGGATAATGCCAGACTAAAAATGATTAAGCCAAACCAGGCAAGTTTCCGACCAGGGTTATACCAGCGCCGATTACGAGTTTGACCTCTAAGGAGTTGCAGCCTGAGCTGTCCGACTCCTACCACGTGAAGGGCAACGACATGAGGGGACCGGCATCGGGGGGAAACATCATGCCGCATTGGCGATGCATCACCGACAAATCGGCGATGTCCCCGACAGTGATTCCGCACGCTCCTGGGCAGAATGGTGCGATCAGGCCCCTATCGGCCGTCCATGGGCGATTGGGGTTCGATGTATCCCCCCAGTGCCTATACCCCCTATCGCTGCCCCCGACCACGGCATCCCCCCAGTACCCCGGTTGGAAAAGCTTCGGATAGCACGCAGGCAGCCCTCCTGGGTAGCATCAGGGATCCATGTGCCATTGGGGGGCCGATGCGTCTCCCCCTGATCAATCCCCCCCTAATGTCCTCCTCCTCCTCCTCCTCCTCCTCCTCCTCCTCCTCCTCTTCACTCTCCTCCTCCTCCACCTCCTCCTCCGCCTCCTCCTCCTTCTCCTTCTCCTCCTCCTCCTCCTCCCTCCTCCTCCTCCTCCTCTCCTCCATCCTTTTCCTCACTCCTCCCTCCTCCTCTCCTTCCTCGTCCTCGCCTCCTCCTCGTCCTCCTCGTCCTCCTCTTCCTCCTCCTCCTCCTCCTCCTCCTCCCTGCTCCTCCTCCTCCTGCTCCTCCTCCTCCTCCTCCGCCTCCTCCTGCTCCTCCTGCTCCTCCTGTCCTCCTCTCCTCTGCCGACCTCCTGCTCCTCCTGCTCCTGCTCCTGCTCCTGCTCCTCCTCCTCCTCCTCCTCCTCCTCCTCCTCCTCCTCCTCCTCCACGCTCCTCCTCCTCTCCCCCTTTCTCCTCCTCCTCCTCCTCCTCCTCCTCTCCTCCTCATCCTCCTCCTCCCCTCCGCATCCGCCTCCGCCTCCCCCCTTCTCCTCCGCCTCCGCCTCCGCCTTCGCCTCCGCCTCGGCTTCCGCCTCTGCCTCCTCCTCCTCTCCCTGCCTCCTCGTCCTCCTCGTCCTCCTCCTCCTTCCTCTCCCTCCTCTCCCCCTCCTCCTCCGCCTCCCTGCTCCGCTCCTCCGGTTGTCCTCCTCCCCTCCTGGTCCTCCTCCCTCCTCTCCTCCTCCCTCCTCCCTCTCCCCCTCCTCCTCCCTCCTCCCTCCTCCCTCATCCCTCCTCCCGCCTCCCTCCTCCCTCCTCCTCCGTCCTATCCTCCCTCCTGCCCTCCCGCCCTCCTGCCGCCCCTCCCGCCCCCTGCCGCCTCCTGCCGCCCTCCTGCCGCCCTCCCTGCCCTCCTCCCTTCCTCACCCTCCCCCTCCCTCCGGCCTCCTCCTCCTACTCTCCTCCTTCCTCCTCCTCCCTCCTCCTTCTCTCCCTCCTCCCACCACCTCCCTCCTTCCTCCTCCCTCCTCCCTCCCCCTCCAGGATCTCTTCTCCCCTCCTCCCTCCTCCCTCTTCCCTCCTCCCTCCTCGCGCCTCCCTACTCCCTCCTCTCTCCTCCGCCTCCCTCCTCCCTCCTCCCTCCTCCCTCCTCTCTCCTCCCTCCTCCCTCCTCGCTCCTCCCTCTTCCCTCCTCCCTCCTCCCTCCTCCTCCTCCTCCTCCTGCTCGAACGTTGCCCCGTGAAGAGTGCGACGATCCCCGAATCCACCTCGCCCTCCGATCGCCCTCGTTACCACTGGGACTCCCCCTGGCTGTTGTGACGACGCGGGCATTGGCTTCTGACACCGCGTGGATCGTCAGCTTTGGTAAGGCTGCGGGTTGCGCACAGACCTGGGCGCGGATGAATGGGGGGCGATAGGTGGGGGGTATGGGCGGGAACGACGCCCTCTGCGGGCCCTCCAGGCCCCCTTTGGGGACTCAGGGGCATGTTCCTTTTCGGCAACCCCTCGCTGCAATTCCTAACAATTCCCTCGCCCTCTTCCGCCTCGCTTCCGCTCTGTCTCTCATGCCCGCTCTGCCGCAACCGTTTCCTCTCAAAATAGGGCCCTTGGCTAATTGAATTACGATTTTTGCCGCACAGAGTGCGAGAAAGCATTATCCGCGATAATCTTCCACATCGCTGCAACCACTACGCGACGCTCAACAAACAGCCCCCCCCCCACCCCTCGGGTAGTCCCGGCCTGGCCATCGCTCGGACGTCCATTCCCTGTGCTTGTTTGGTTTCGTGCGTGGTTTTTTGGGTGTCCTCCTCCTCCTCCTCCTCCTCCTCCTCCTCCTCCTCCTCCTCATCATCATCATCATCATGACCCTCGATGACCCTCGCCGAAGGAAAAGTGCACACGTCCGAGCGATGCCAAGCGGCTGGCCTGGCGGGCCCAACGCGCCTCGGCCCCGGGGCGGGGAGCGCCCCCAGGGGGCGCCGCCGGGGCGCGGAGATCGCCCGGGGAGCATGCTCGGGGGGCCTGCGGAGGCCCGCCGGCGCGACGCGGGGGGCCTGTGGAGGCGAGCTGGGGCTACTAGGAAGGCAACGACTATACACCAACACCGATCCTGGCCAGGATCACCCTGGGCCCAGGATCGGTGTATGCGCCCTCCTGCCTTGGGCAAGAAGACATATACACCGATCCCGGGCCCAGGGTGATCCTGGGCCAGGAGCGGTGTTGGTGTATAGTTGGTGCCCTCCGAGCTACCCACCGGGCAGCTTCTAATAATACATTGGATTTTTACCAATGTAGGATTTCTAATACATGCTTAATTTCGGAGTCGATGTATGCATGAACTCAGCGTTGTTTTCAGGGCTGAAGCCCTGCATGTTTAAGACATGATCCGCACGCGGATTCTGTATTAAAAACAGCACTGTAGGGAGGGGCTGTCCGTGCGCAGCCCGAAGCCTGACCAGACCCGGCATACTGGCGGCCGCCGTGATCCGGTAGACCCTTGGCAACGACGCTCGCTGGCATCGGGTGTTGAAAATGGCAATCACGACCTGAGCCCTGGACCCCATCATTATGCTGCATTTTCCTAGCTGGATCGATCCGTGAGGGCCCTGGGGCCGAAACAGGGCAGCAGCGCCCGCTGTGAGAAAAGCGAGACGCCCAAAGCTCACCAAATCGGACACCCGCAGTGTGCACGGAAGCATTGCATATGACGGAGAAGGAAGAAACATAAACATTAGCTCTTGGCGATTCTTCTCCTTCTTCGAACGATGTTCAACAACGAATGCTGTACAACGACAGTGTGTCCGCCCATTAAAACAGGGCTAGGATCGGGATAAATCGCTCCAGAGCGTTCCGGAGCGCTCTCAGAGCGTTCCGGAACGCTCTGGAGCGGCCGCGGCGCCCAATACATCCTCCAGACCCGCCGATGCTCCGAGATCTCGAGTTCCCCCGATCCGATTTTGTCCCGATCTTCGTGTCGTTTTACTCCTCCTTCTCCGAACGATGCTCCACAGCAACTGCTGTACCACCCCCGACGTGTCCGCCCGTCCGCCCCGCTGCCCGCGGGCGCGGCGGGCGCGGAGGGACGCGGCCGGGCGGCGGCACTCTTTGGCGGCGGCCGCGGGCCGGCGCGGGGAGGCGCGGCCTCGGCAGGGGCGAGATACTGCCGACGGGCAGTGGGGCGCGGCTCGAAGGATTTCAAAAAAACCGAAGGATTTCAAAAAAAACCTGGGTTTCAAAAAAACCCTGGGTCGAAGGATTTCAAAAAAACCTTTCGAAGGATTTCAAAAAACCTTTTTTTGAAATCTTTTGAAATCCTGTTTTTTTTTTTTTGAAATCCTT